TTGAGACAGGGTCTCACTATGTAGTTGAGACTGACCTGAAACTCACTGTGTAGCCCAGGCTGGTCTCAAACTCACAGCGATCCTCCTGCCTCAGCCTTCTGAGTGCTGGGATTATAGGAGTGCGCCACCACGCCCGGCTAAAAATTTTTTTTGAGACACAGTCTTGCTGAGTTGCCCAGGCTGGAGCCATACTTGTGTTCACCTCAGCCTCCCAGAGTGCTGGGATTGCAAGCTTGTGCCACTACACTTGGCTTCTTGAACTCTTAAAAATCACCAAACTCTCAACTAAACTAAATGAAAAAAATCACAAATTACCACACACTTCATTGAAGAATAAGAATGATAACCATATGATTCTTTCTTCTTTATCCTCTTTATAGTTCATCGTTAACTTCCCCTCCTATTAACTGGCCACAAAAAGGCTAGACAGCCTCGATAGTTTTCAAAATAGTTCCTTAAGACAAAAAAACAGTATGTTTAATAGTATATGCACTCATACTTAATTAAATTTCACAATTCTTATTTGAGACTTGACTAGTTGCAATCAATTGCTGGATAAACAGTCTTAAACAACTTTAATTCTTAGAAATGATTGCGAGATTTGAGATAAGTTAATGTTTATTGTAATAAGTTTTAAGACAAATTTTCTTTTCCAGTTTGCCGTGAGTCCGTCTAACTTCAGCAGCAGTGACTGTCAGGATGAAGAGGGACGAAAAGGAAACAAACTTTACTACAGTTTTCCTTGGGGAAAAGAGCCAATAGAAACGCTGTGGAATCTAGGAGATAAAGAACTCTTACACATGTATCCCGGAGAGGTGGCTAAATTACATGTATGTTTTACTATGAGATTCTGTGTGTTCTTTACCCAAATTATCTGGGCTCATTTCTGAACTATTACACAATCATCATGAGTATAATCCACTTTCATTATCCATTCCACAGAATCCTTCAGATTTAACCAATTAGTCCAGTTATGTCCTTTGTAAATCCGGGACCCAGTCCAGGATTGTGTTTTTCATGTAGTTATCATTTCTTTAGTCTCCTTCGAATGAACACTCCATTTCTTCCTGTTCTTCTATGATCTTGGTACCTGTAAAGAGTGCAGGCTTGCTCTTAGAGACAACCAGGACTAGTCCCAAGTTGGCTAACAGCTGCTTAGGAAACGGGGATTTGGCAGCCCCTGACAACTGTTAAGCAGTGGGTACGGTTCTTCCTGCCCCAGCCCACCACTGTATTCAGGTAGGGGAGTAGGGGTCTGGCTTTTGGTCTCAGAGAACAAGATCTTGGCTCTTTAGTAGCCATCCCACCCAACAAAGAATGAGGCCTGAGGAATGCTGCAGAGAAAGGGCCACAGGGAGAAACCTAACGTGAATTTTACTCTTAACCACATTCTTTGCTCCTCTCCGCTCCAAAAGCATCGCCATGTCCACCCCTGAAAAAAGTGATCAGGTGTGAATGGCACACGATTGCTCGCATCTTTATGCTCGGAGAAGGTAATATTATTACACCAAACCCTTCTCTAGCCCTTGGCCTAAGGGAGATGAACATAAAATAGCCACGTCCCACCCACACCTGAAAGGAGCTTGAGGTCCCAGCAGGAGCTGAGGCATCCATTTAGGGAACAGAAGGGCTTTGTTCAATAAGAGTTTTGGGGGTTTTTGTTTTGTTTTGTTTTGTTTTTTAGATCAGTTCAACAGGCTAGTGGTTACGGTGTTTCTGACCCAGACCAGGACTTGTGTGTGTGAATTTTCTAAGGTGAAATAAAAGACCCTTTTTCTTCTTGGGGAAAAAAAAAAAGTGCAGGCTTGTTACTTTGTTGGATGTCCCTTGTTACAGATTTGTTTGTTTCCTCATAGTTTCTGTATTCTTGCTAGGAACAGCACAGGTAGTGTTGCCCTCTTCTTGGTGTATCATTTTAGGAGATATAGGTATCAGTGCCTTCCTTGACTTTGATTATGTTGTAACACAGTATGTACCAGGTTTCTCCAATATAAAGCTAATAAATAAATCTTTTGTGGGCAAATACTTTAAAAGACTATGCATAGGCTGGGCGTGGTGGCTCATGCCTGTAATTCCAGCACTCGGGAGGCTGAGGCAGGAGGATGGATCACTGTGAGTTCGAGACCAACCTGGGCTACATGGTGAATTCCAGGTCAGTCTCAACTACATAGTGAGACCCTGTCTCAACCCCCACCCCCAAAAAGGACTATGTATATATAGCCTCCTTGTCATCAGATTTTAATTTCTGTTGGGGCCTCAACTGATGATTCTTTTTTGGGGGAGGGCGGTACTGGAGATTGAACTCAGGTGAGTACCACTGAGCTAAATCCCCAGCCCTCATTTTTTTTTTTTTTTTTTTTTTTTTTTTTTTAAATTTTGAGACAAGGTCTCACTTGTTGCCCAGGCAGGACTTGAACTCCAGTCCTACTGCTTTGGCCTCCTAGAGTACTGGAATTACAGACATACATCACACACCCAGCTGATTCCTTGCTTTTTATAAGAGCAAACTGTTACAAGATCATCTAATATTTTCTTGACCTAGCTGTAGAACCAGCCATTTCTTCAAGGAACCTTGGTTCCTACTAAAGGAAATTGTATTTATAAACTGAGGTTTTGCCATGACGTGTACTCCTTATAACCATACAGCACTGTTCTAGGCCCTCTGATGGACACAGTAGGAAATATTGTACATTGAACCCCAGGGCTCTCACCTGTATCTCCCTACAGCCTTTTTTGGGGTGGGGCTCGGGGCTTAAGACCCGCTCAACTTGTACCTAGCGATTTAAAGATGATTTTTGTATTGTGGCTAATCGCTCTTGCACTTGTGAGGCAGGCACACACCACTGAGCCAAATTCCCAGCTCCTTTGTTTTATTTTTTATGGGAGTACTTGTCACAAATGAGAAGATCTCTGTTGCAGAATTTTTACCCTTTCATGTAATTGTTGTTCTTTTGTTTCCATAGTTCACAAAACCATTAGCTGAACATTGCAAAGTAACAAACAGAATTTCTGCTATTATGGCTTTTTGAAAGGTCTTAGCCTATTTTGTACTTCTTTTTAATTGGTTTTACTATTAACATATTCCTGGAAAGATTATTTTTTAGAAAACAAAAACTCTTCAGAACAGTTTTAGAGTTTCTGTTTTAGACAACAGAAAACTGTTAGGCTAGAAAGAAGTTTGTTCTGGAATATATGAGGAATCAGTCCAGCTAAGAAGACTTGCCATTGGAGAGCTTGACAACCATGGATGTCTGATTTTCAAACAATTAGAAATATTAAAGATTTCTTCATCTTCATACTCAAATATGATTTCATCCTTGACTCAAATGGTACCAGAGTCTTACAGTACCTCAGAACCATCTTACTAAATACCAGTTCTGTAAGTGTGGGAATGACATCAACTCGTGGGGTTAGAATAGAATCCCAGCTATCAGAAAATTCACTATTTTGAAGGCAAATTGTCATTAATGTTTAAAGTATCATATGCAATTCAGATAAGTTTAAGGCTGGGGATTTAGCTCAGTGGTTCTGGTGCCAACCTGGTAAGCACAAGGGCCTGAGTTAAGTCCCCCGTATCAAAAACAAAAAAAACTGTAATTCCTCCTTCCTCCAGCAAATAGGTTTAAAATGTCAAAACGTGTGTATTGTACAGATTGTGGTTGACCATAATAGAATAATTAATGGAAATTGAGAATTTAAGAGTTTTTCCCTAAGTATTAAAAAGTCACATGGATGTTCAAGTGAACAATGATAATAGAAATTTTAAAAGAATGAACCAGGCATGGCGCACGCCTATAATCCCAGCACTGGGGAGGCTGAGGCAGGAGGATCGCCAAGGTTCCAGCTTGCCTGGGCTACATAGTGAGTTCAAGGCCAGCCAGTAGTACAGGAAGAGACCCTGTCTCACAAAACCAAAACAATAATAGTAGAACTGTTTAAGAGCAAAACTTGAAAAAGTTTTAGAATGGAAATTTTTAAGAATTTGAAATTATTTTTTCCTCATCAGTTTAAAAGAGAGGAGACGGGCTGGGGATTTTAGCTCAGTGGTGCCGCCACCTGCCTCAAAAGCGCAAGGTCCTGAGTTTGATCCCCAGTACCAAAAATAAAAATAAAAGAGGGGAAACAGTTTATGAATGTTTGATTTATATAATGTGGTAGAGTGTATATTTTAATTTTATAATTATAGCTTTAACCCAAAAAGCAAGTTTTAAATAGATGTTTATCATGAAAATAACCTTATATTTTAGAAAATTATACCGCAGACCCCTTTCTTTGAGGATACCAACCCCACCCACTCTTCTGACTTTCATTGGTTAATAATCTTTGATTTTTACCTAAAAGCAGCCGTTTTCCAAATACCAATTCTCACCTCAGAAGCTACCTGCATCCCAGTTGAGTTGGTTCATCCTGTCTGGGAGTGAGGCCTGGGTGCTGCTGTTTTAAATGTACAGGTGACACGGAAGGCCGAGATGCGCTGACTTAAACTCCGCCGTCCCTGACGGCTGCGAATGTGTGGTCATCTTTGTGCCCAGTCCCTAGTATAGGCCTGGCACAGAGTGTGAAATGAATTTATAATCTTGTATTCTGATTGACCAAATCTAAAAAGTGTAATCTTAAGAAAGTTCTGTTTAGCCAGGCGTGGTGGCGCACGCCTGTAATCCCAGCACTCGGGAGGCTGAGGCAGGAGGATCGAGACCAGCCTGGGCTACATAGTGAGTTCCAGGTCAGTCTCGACTACGTAGTGAGACCCTGTCTCAAAAAAAAAAAAAAAAAAAAAAAAAAAAAAAGAAAGTTCTGTCAAATGATGCTTTGTTTTGTTCTTCCCTGTGAAGGGCCGAGATGGGCGGAAAGCTGTGGCTCCTTCCGTTGTGTCTGTAAGCGGGAATCTAGACCTAGGCATGCTGGCTTACCTCTACGATTCTTTCCAGCTCACAGAGAACTCCTTTACAAGGAAGAAAAATCTTCACAGAAAGGTGCTTTTGATATTTCAAAGACAAACTTGGGAACTAAAGATATGGGTGGTTTTTCCTTTTTTATGTTAATTGTGCTTCCCTTTTCTCCCTTCTTTGCCTTAGGTACTTAAACTTCACCCCTGTTTAGCCCCTATTAAAGTTGCTTTGGATGTAGGAAGAGGCCCAACTGTGGAACTGAGACAGGTGGGTTAAATAAAGGAGTATAAACATCGCGATTTCAAGCACATACTTGTAATCCCAGTACTTTGGGAGGCTGAGTCAGGAGGATCACAAGTTCAAGGCCTGCCTGGTCAACTTAGCAAGACCTGGTTTCAAAATGAAAAATAAAAACAACTGGGGAAGTAGCTCAGTGACTGAGTGCCTTTGGTTTTAATCCTCAGCATCACCAAGTAATAATCATTTCATGTATAGCCATCACTCTAAGTAAACTTGGTAACTTGCCATTTCAATTTTGATTTTGATTTATTTGCTTTTTAAAATATTTTAAGTAATGGAACTGTGAATAAGTGCTATGTGTAATTATAGGAAACTAAACTAATTCAGTGGATTTTGTTTGCTGTTAAAGTCATCTCCACTCAATTTCATTTGTAATGTAATGTGTTTACATAGCTTTTTAGTATTAAAACGTTTGCTCGGATACCTAGTGAACTCTTTCTTCCCCCTTTCCCTTTTGACTTAACACTTTGATGTTTGTTTGTGTACTGGGGATCAAACCAAGAGGCTTTCCACCACCACCAAGCTACATCCCCACACCTGACCCTCCTCTTTGAAATGGTCTCACTAACTTGCCTAAGTGGGGTTGAACTTATAATTTTTAGGTTTTTTTGTTTTGTTTTGTTTTGTTTTGATTTAAAACTGTGTAGCCTGGGCTAGGCTTGAACTCAAAGTGATCTTCCTGCCTCAGCCTCCTGAGAGTTGGGATTATAGACATGCACCACCACACCTGGCAATTTTGAGTTTTCTAATCCATTTGGTCTAATTACTAAATACTACTCTTGAGAAAAACCAGGGAGGTGGTTTTCTTAGCAGTCGACTAGGAGATTCAGCGCCACCTAGGACTTGAGTGAGAACAGTCTGGGAAGGTGGGTGACAGCAGATCCAAGCAAAGAGAAGACCAAGGCCTCCCTTCCTCCCACCCCCTGGGCCGTGGAGGCTCTTACACCTTTGGAGTTAGCAGGTTTCTAGTTTGAGAAGCAGTGCTGTAGCTCAATCACCGCTATCAAAGAAGGGACTTTGGGTAATATCCAGAGCCACTTCTGGTTGTCACAAAGTGTGGAGGCCCCGGGCTGCAGGCATCTGATGGTGGCCAAGAATGCTGCCAGACTAAGGAAGAGAGGCTTGGGCTAGAGCAGAGGAGGGGGTTTTGTCTGCTCACTTCCCGGTACTGGAGGTAGAATTCTGGGCCTGGTGCCTCTAGGCCAGCGTTCTTACCCTGAAATCCATCCCCACCCCATGGTGGGTGGGGTTAGTTTTGCTTTGTTTTGCTTCGACACTGCTTTCAAAAAAACAGTAGAGTTTCCTGTGTCATTTATGTAGTGCTATTTTTATATTTCCGGTTAGGCTTATGTCTCCAGCAGTCCACTGAAACTAATCAGTCTTTCTCTAGAAACATTTTCTGTAGTTGGCTTCTGGAATACTATGCTGTTGGATTTTCTTGTACCTTGTTTGTTTGTTTGTTTGTGAGACAGGATCTTGCTATGTATTCCAGGGTAGTCCTGAACTCACTTTGTAGCCTAGACTGGCCTCAGATTCACAAGGATCCTCCTGCCTCAGCCTGCCAAGTGCTGGGATCATAGGTGTGCACCACCATGCCTGGCCTCATTTGTTTTCATTCCTGGCTCTTCCTCTTCTTCCTAACATGGAAATATAACCCTAAGGATCAGTTTTATCTTTCCACAAGAGTTTAGAGTTAATATATATCTTTGCAGCCAGCTTTTAAAAAAATGTGTGTGTGTGTGTGTGTTTGTGTTTGGTACTTGGGATGGAACTCAGGACCTTGAGCTTGTGAGGCAGGTGGCAGCACCACTGAGCTAATCCCTGGCCCAGTATTTTGTGTTTTGAATGATGATAATGAAAAAATTTCTTGGTGAGTATAAAAATATCTCAGAAGATCATGTTTAGTGTTTAGTTTGCAGTGCTTAATTTTCAGAGGATGTACCCAATTTATAAAGTATGTAAGTATAAATTATAAGCATTAGTATTGTGTAACTAAAGGCATTTATGCTCATTTTAGAGATTGAAAAGGGTAATTTGTAAACCAGGCATGATGATACACCTGTAAATCTAGCTACTCGCAAGGCTGAGGCAGGAGCATTGCAAGTTTGAGGCCAGCCTAGTGAGACCCTATCTCAATATAAGAAAATAAGGACTGGGTTGTAGCTCAGTGTGAAGGCTCTGGATTCTACCCCTGGTACAGTTATCAATCAATAAACAGATGACACTAGCTACTATTTGAAGTTTTGTGTTTTTCTCCAGGTTTGTCAAGGGCTATTTAATGAATTACTGGAAAATAGAATCTCTGTGTGGCCTGGTTATTTGGAAACTGTACAATCCTCACTGGAACAACTTTACTCAAAGTAAGATAAATTATTTTTCTAGTCATTAAAAATGTATTTTATTCAGTGTTTGATTATATGTATGTCTCTATGATCATACAGATGGCTCATAAATATATATGAAATATAATTAAAATTATTCCCCACTTTCCCTTTTACAGAAGTGTGCCCTCAGATAATTGTTAGAGCACAAAACAATATTCAGCAGATATATTTTAGCTCATGCAGTATGCAATTCCAAGACATAATGCCATGAAGGAGCCTTCAGTTTATTAATTTATCAGGATGAAGTTATACAGATGAGAGGCATTTGTTGAATCAAGACTGAAGGAACACGATTGGAATGCCTTTTCCTTGCTGGTATTTGGTTTATTTTGAGACTAAAAGAGAATTCTATCCTGGAGGATGGAGAACTAATCTCAGTAACTGTTATCACTGTTTCCCTGATTGTTCTTTTTTTTTTGGCGGGGGTGGGGAACCAGAGATCAAACTCAGGACCTTACACTTGTGAAGCAGGCAGTGGAACCACTGAGCTAAATCCCCAGCCCCTTCCCTGATTGCTCTTGATTGAAATTTCCCACTTGTTGATCATCCTTAACCTGAAAGTTTAAGATCCAAAATCTGAAATGCTCTAAAATCTGAAACTTTCTGAGCAGTAATATTTTTCAACAAGAGAAAAATTCCACACCTGCCCTCATGTTTACAGGGTGTAGTCAAAATGCAGGTACAGGGCTGGGGATTTAGCTCAATGGTTCCACTGCCTGCCTCACAAGCGCAAGTCCTGAGTTTGATGCTGGTATCAAAAACAAAACAAAACAAAACAAAATGCAGGTGCACAAAAAGTATTATATAAAATTACCTTCACTCTGTGTGTATAAGTAGTAGATGAAAGATAAAAGAGCCAGGTGTGCTGTACACACCTCTAACCCAGCACTTGGGAGGCTGAGGCAGGAGGATTGCTATAATCATAGATAGGCTGAGGCAGGAGGATTGCTAGGATCATAGGTGTGCACCACCACCCCGGGCCTCATTTGTTTTCATTTCTGGCTCTTCCTCTTCTTCCTAACATGGACGTATAACCCTAAGGATCAGTTTTTAAGGGCAGCCTGAGCTAACCCTAACCCTAACCCATGTACCCTGAACTTTTAAAAAATTTTTTGAGACAGATCTCACAATGAGGTTCAGACTGGCCTTAAGCTCACTGTGTAGCCCAGGCTGGCCTTAAACTCAGTGATCCTCCTGCTTCAGCCTCCTGAATGCTGGGATTACAGGCGTGCGCTACCATGCCTGGCCAAACCTGAACTATCATAGGTCACTAGTATCTCCTGTCTGGATAGTAGAAATAATCTCCTGTTTGCGTCTCTAATCTTGCCTGTGTGCTGTCTCATCCATTTGTGGGGTGGGGGTGCCGGGGATCAAACTCGGGACCTTGTGCTTGCAAGGCAGGCGGTGGCACCACTGAGCGAAATCCCCAGCCTTCACCAGTTTTCTTGTTAGTAAAGTAATTCACCCTTCCTTTGGGTGTATCTTGATTTTTCCAAGCTTCTTGTGTTGAATCCGCGTCTTCTGTGTAGAGATCTGAAGCTTTTCATTTCCTCTTCAGTTCTCTAATAACTTGTTAAAATTCACTTTCCAGGTGATGTCCACAGAGAAGTGTTGTTTTTCTTTGGTTTTTTGCGGGGGCGGTTTCAGCACTGTGGATCCACCACAGGGACTGTCTACCACTGAGCTACATCTTACATTTCTCCTGCCTCAGCCTCCTGAGTGCTGGGATTACAGGCGTGCGCCACCACACCCGGCAAAGCTTATATTCTCTATATAAAAGAGACAATAAAAAACTAAATGGATAAAATAGAATATTGAATGAGGTAATACGACTTGGTAAGCAGGAAGAAGGCCCGTGATTGCTAGACTGGAAGTTATAAGCTGGCATACTGAGTAATAAATGAAGCATGAATTTGGTAAAATTTGTCGGATGCCAGTTCTTTATTGTAATATTGTTATGTAATCTAGAATAATTGTTCTCACACTACAGCCAGGTTCCAAAAGGCTGAGGTTACCATGCGGCTTATATGTAATTTCACAGTACGTGATGTGTTGGGGCGACAGGGCCTATTTCTCAGCCTTAATATCTTTGACAGCTTTTGCACTACCCACTAAGTTAGAAACTCACCGTAAATTTGACTTGGAATATGATTGAGAAGCAGAAAATGTTAAGTGTTTTCGGTCCGGAGGTTCCCAAGCCCTTACTCGGAGCTCGCGGGAGAAAAGAGGCACAGACTCTGACGCGGCGAGAGCGGGCAGTGTGGAGTCTGGCGGTGGATGCTCATGTGTCTTCGTTAAACGACTTTTTCCTCAGGTATGATGAAATGAGTATCCTCTTCACGGTTGTGATTACTGAGACTACTCTGGAGAATGGATTGGTGCATCTGAGGAGCAGAGATACCACAATGAAGGAAATGATGCATATATCGAAATTAAAAGACTTTTTAATCAGGTATATATCACCAGCTAAGAATGTATAGGTTTTCATATTTGTATAATAAATATTCTTTGCTAATTTGTCAGATGTTAACTTAGTTTTTGGGTTGTTTTTTTTTTTTTTTTTTTTTTTGGCTCTTTTACACTTATGAAGTGGACAGTTTTGGTACTTTCTTTGATTCGTTTTTAAAATTATACTTCGGATGTATTCCATTGCATCAAGAATATGTTGAGGTACAACAAACAAAGCCCTACTCTACCAGATTAAGCAAATTGGGGTTTCTTTTTCTCCTATAAGATGAAATTCAGGAGGGAGACCTAGACCTGTCCCAAGCAGTACAAGGGTTTATTCTACAGTGAGGGACCCAGGCTCTTTCTGTCCTACTGTCTTGCTGTCCTACCTCATGTTTTATCTTCAGGTTTATTTCATCGTGATCACAGGTAGCTGCTATATTTCCAGCCTTGTCCACCTAATTAGAAGGAAAGTCAAAGAAACAAGGATTCTTTCCCCTGTAGTCAGGAAAGCTTTCCCCAGACATTCCGATCAGAAGTCTCCTTTACAGCTCATTGATTGAACTGGCTCTCATCATAATTCTTAGACCAGTCTGTGATGGGAATATCCTGATTTAGGTAAAATGTAATTTCTCTCTTGGAGATACAGTACTGTCTTTTTCTGAAATGGGTTTTGTTATCAGGACAGAAGAGATCTTTAAGGAATCTGCCATATTTATTGTCAAAAAAAATTTTTTTTTAACCTTTTTTTTTTTTTTTTTGGCTTTTTGAGACAGGGTCTCACTATGTAGTTGAGACTGACCTGGAACTCACTCTGTAGCCCAGGCTGGTCTCAAACTCACAGTGATCCTCCTGCCTCAGCCTCCTGAGTGCTGGGATTACAGGCATGCACCACCATGCCCAACTTTATTCTGTCAAATATTTTTAAAAATTATCCTAAAACTAACCTCTTAAAATTTTAGAACAATTATTGACTTTTTTTTTTCTTTTTCAGTTTTTTGAGACAGGGTGTGTCCTTTAGCCTGGCCTTGAACTCACAGTTATCTTCCTGCCTCAGCCTCCAAAGTGCTGGAGTTACAGGCAAGCACCACCACACCTGGCCTCATGTCTGATTCTCATAAATTCTATAGGATCTCTTGCTCTTGCTCTCTCTCTCTCTGTCTCTCTCTCTGTCTCAGCTGGTTGTTTATTTTGGGATTGTCCCACTGTCTAGGTTTTGTTTATGGCATCTTCACAGCATGGTTTTACCTGTTCCTCTCCGCATATTTCTTGTAGAACAGTGGTTCAATCCAGAGGGTTGTCTGGCTTCGAGTTCCATTTTGGTGGTGACAGTGTTTCATAGACAGTTGTGTTCTTTACCGGGGGGGGGGGGGTGAGTGTTGGTTTTCTTCTTCTTTTTTTTTTTTTTCTTTTTTGAGGTTGCTGGCAACTAAATCAATCAATGCCTGACTTGATCGGTTTAGTAAGTGTTGCAGAATGGTGATGTTCTGCATCTATTTGTTAGTGACAGTACTTCTGCAAAATAAAATTTCCACCCACTGTGTACACTTACCTGGAGGTATGAAAAGCTGGGGTCCGTGCTGGCTCCTCTAAAGTTAGCGTTTCTTCTCATGCTGGGATTGTCCGGTCTGTGGCCGACGGGACCTCTTGGGCTTAGAGTCATTTTGACACACCTTCAGTGGGCTTTGAAAGGACCCTTGCTGACTCGTGTCTACTATCCAGATAGTGTATTTCTGTGTTTCTCCATGGAAACCTGGTTCCTCTTGGTGGAAAAGGTACTTGGAAGCCGTACTGTGGATACAGGTTGCTCATTGATCGAAGGTGGTCTTTGTAGGCCTTTTTAGGGTTCCAATCTAGCAAATACATGTTGGGGGAGAGTATGTGTTTCCCTCCTAAAAAAAATCAATCCTAAGTTCACACTAATACTTTCCATTCAAATTCAGAACTACGAGGGTTTGGGTTTGTACGTGTTTTAATCATATTTGTTTCTGTTTTACAGTCAAACCCAGTGCTTCACACATCACTAGGCTGAAAAACACCCTCAGCCTTACTCAGTTTTATTAAGATATAATTTATATGTAATAAACTTGCCAGTCTTAAATATACAGGTTCCTGAGTTTCTACAAGTGCAGAACTATGACCAAAATGACAGCATAGACATTTTCATCACCCCAAAATGTCCCCTAATGCCTTTTTAGGACTGCCACAGTAGTAACCACATTAGATTTACCAGAGAGCTATGGACCCAACTTTGTTGTTGGACAGAAAGAACTTCTCTCCAGTCCAGCTGCTTGCATGTGTGTATGTGTGTGTGTGTGTGTGTGTGTGTGTGTGTGTGTGTGTGTGTGTGTGTTGGGGGTTTGGAGACAGTTGTGTGTGTGTGTGTGTGTGTGTGTGTGTGTGTGTGTGTGTTGGGGGTTTTGAGACAGGGTCTCACTCTGCAGTTCAGCCTGGCCTTGGACTCTGTGCATAGCCCAGGCTGCCCTTGAACTCACAGTGATCCTCTTTCCTGAGCTTCCCAATTCCTGGGATTATTTAGGTGTGCACCACCAATCCCAGCTTCCAACTGCTTTTACTAAATTTTTTTGTTTTGTTTTGTTTTTTGTTTTTTTGTGTGTGTTTTTTGAGACAGAGTCTCACTATTTAGTTGAAACTGACCTGGAACTCACTATATGGCCCAGGCTGGTTTTGAACTCACAGCGATCCTCCTGTCTCAGCCTCCTGAGTGCTGGGATTACAGGCATGAGCTACCACGCCCTGCTGCTTTTAGTAAATCTGTTATCCTAAATATTTTTTACAAAATAAAATTTTAATTTGTTGACAAAGAAATTTTATAAAATTGACTTTATTTCTCTTACTGCTGTACACAGATATACTTCAGAAGATGTTATTAGAATCAGTCCCATGAAACTCAGTGTTGACTGAGCTGTAAAAATGTTCTTGAAGACATTTGTTTGCTATTTATAGCATGTCCTCATGTGAGGAAGTGTGAAATTTCTCTCATATTTATCATGGATTGTTGTATTTCTTCTGAATAACTGGTCTGTTGATACGTGTATTATAGCCAGCCCTCTATATACACAGGTGAATCCCATCCATAGGTTGAACCAACCACAGATCAAAAATATTCAGAAAAAAATTTGCATCTGTATTAAATGTAGACTTTTTTCTATTTCCTAAATAGCACAACATAAACATTTATATAGCATTTACATTGTATTATATAAGTAATATAGAGATGATTTAGAGTATATAGGAAGAGCCGGGTATGGTGGCTCACGCCTATAATCCCAGCTGTAACCAGGAGGCTGAGACAGGAGGATCACTTTGAGTTTGAGGCCCCTTGGGCTACATAAGGAGTTCAAGGTCAGCCTGAACTACAAAGCAAGACCCTGTCTCAAAGAAATAGGGGAAAAAATGTGCACAGGTGGATTGCATAGTTCCTGTGGAAATTCCATGCTTTTTAAGCGTCTGTGGATTTTGGTGTAGGAGGGAGGTGCGGGAACCCATCCGCCATGGATTCTGAGGGACTTACAGGGACACTGAGCACCTAAATTTAGGTGTCAGGAAGATTTCAGGGAACAGAACGAAGTCCTCTAGTGATGGTGGTGGAGACGGACAATGAGCCACGGACAAGACAGTGCCCGACAGCTAGAGATCGCGCTGTAAAGGGCACGGACCAGGGCGACGTGTGGGAGACGGCTGGGGTGAGGAGCTACGCAGGACCTCTGAGGTGCGACCTTGGAATCGCGGACGGAGACAGCGGTGCGACCCGCGGCAGCACGGTCTGGGCGGAGGGAGGAGGCACGGAGGGACGGCTGTGCTAAGAAAGGCGGAGCGGAGTGGAAGATGCCACGTCCCTTGTCATCCCGGGGGCCATCGCGAGGGGGCTAGCAGCAGAGAAGGGCTTACCGTCCTCAAACAGACCTTCGTGGAGAAAGAAACGTAGAACAGAAAGGAAGCAGGGGCTGTGAAGGGAAGCCGACAGTAGCCCGTGTGTCAGCCTTCCCTGGCTGTGACAAGATGCCTGAGAAGCTGCCGAAAGGAGAGATTCATCTGGGCTTGCAGGTTCAAAGGCTTCAGTTCGTGGTCAGTTGGCCTGTGGCAGGGCAGAGCTGCTCACATGCCGGACGGGAGGCAGAGAGGGAAGAAGGGTCCCTTCAGGGCCGGCCCCCAATGACCTGTTTCCTCCAACAAGGCCCCGCACTCTACTGTTCCTGCCTCCCAACGGCACCATCGGCTGGGGATTTATTAAGCTATTAGCACAAAGTCTTTTGGGGACATTCAAGACCCCCAAACCACTAACAGCCTAGGAAATACCGGCCAGGACAAAGGAGATGACAATGCCTTTTTTTTTTTTTTTGAGACCGCGTCTCATTAAATTGCCCAAATTGGGCTTAAACTTGCAATGCTCCTGCCTCAGCCTCCCAGAGTTCTGGAATTACATGCACCACCACACCTACCTGTACCTTTTTTTTTTTCTTTTTTTGGTTTTTTGAGACAGGGTCTCACTAGTAGTTGAGACTGACCTGGAACTCCGTGATCCTCCTGCCTCAGCCTCCTGAGGGCTGGGATTATAGGCACGTGCCACCATGCCCGGCTTGTAATACCTTTGTTGATCCTGATGAGAGGAAGCCCACCTACCCTGGTCCCTGCCCTTGACAGGGTCACGCTCTAAGTTTTCCCCAGCTGTGCTTTCCCCATATCGATGTCCGCAGGCCCAGAAAGACGTGTCCAGAAGTCATGAAGCCTTTAGGCATCCAATTCTTCCATAAATTTATGAGCCTCTGGAGAGCTCAGTCTCCATTAACGTGAACCGGGGATGGGTCAATGGTAAAGAGCTAAGCCCTTTCCCTCCAGGGCAGTGAAAGAGAAAGAAGGCATCACAAGCCGCTGCTGAACTGTGGGTCTGTGTCCAGTTAGGGCCCCTTTAAGTCCTTAGGGAGGCCGCAGCCTCTTTAGGCTCTGCTCCCCCAGCCCAGGCACAGAAGAGGAGGCCTGGTGTGACCCTGCAGGCCCTGACTTTTCCCCGTGCTTTATTGGATTATTGA